GCCTGTATATAGCTAGTTTGCTCAGTGGCTCAGGCAATACACCAACCAGTTGCTAAGTCTGCAGCTTTGTGCCTAGTCCCCTTCACTGACTCCGTCCGATGAGATGGCCGGCAGAATTCGAGACGAGCCCCTTCGCTAGGACACGAAAAATACACGTTGCCTTCAGATTGGGCGCTCCGTGGCTCACCCACCATACTCAAAGAGTCGTCGTCCGTYTGTGCATCACACCAACCAAACATGGCAATCCTCCCCCCCACATATCGATCGAATGAGCAAAAAGTTGAGATAAGTCTTTCGTAAGAAAACAAGTAGGTTCATCTTCCTTCTATAACGTATTCTCTTCCCCGCTGGACTGAGCAAAATCGAATAAACCTCCCGCTAGAAACGGAAAGATTCATCGTTCTCTTTGTCATGCATGCCAAGAGAACCGAGACCCCTTAATGCTTTGAACGTAGCTCCAGGTGACAGGTAAATCTCCCACCCCGTGTCCGCCCTCTACTACGCCCTTCCTCTTAGATGGGAAAATAGGATGAATCTTCCGTGGAATGTGGGCGCATACATGCCCAACTTTGCCTCCGCCCATCCTTCCTCCGTAGCTTATCTCGCAGCTCGCTTTCTCCTACCGACTGACTCACTACCCCTTTGCCAAAATTAACCCGTGATTCGGATTCGCCCCTCATAGAACCTCTGAAATGATCCTTCCCTCGCTCGTTTTCATCAAGAAACGAGCGAGATCTTCATCTCCCCCATACGGCCATATCCATTATCACCAGACTTCCAYGCACCACATTTCTCTCTTACCTTGATTTCTACTAACTTCCAATTGATTCTAACTTAACTAACGGGCTCGCCTCACCTCAAACCCTTCGACCACATTCCTACCTCACTCGATCCCATCGAGGACTGAGTGACATCTCGTTTCTTCACTTCCGCCTCTTTCCCATCTCCATAGCTAGGCGCACTACTTTTCTCCCCTAGCACTAAATACACTAATCTAACACCAAAACTAATCCTACCATCACGCTCGCCTTGCCTTAAAACCCCACTCCCGTCTCCTCCCTCGCTCGATTTCATTAAGAATCGAGCGAGTTCTTTGTTTTCTTGCTTCCAATAGCCGAATCTTCCTCCTTCCTTACTCCGAATGGACCTGGCGCGAAATGCGTCCAGGTTCTCTCCCTYATTTCCCGCTGTGCCTCGTTCTTCCGCTCGCTACTACGCAGCGCCGCCCGCTGCCCGTCGCTCCTCCTACTTCGCGCTTCCGCCTGTCTCAGCCGTCCCCGCTACCTGCTGCAATGCTTTCCCCGGATGGATCTGGCCCGGGAACACCCCCGGATCCCTTTTCTCTGCCTCCTGCACCGCGTTCCTGCCGCTGCGCCCTACTTCCTCGGTCTCCCGGCTCGTCTCCCCTGGCCTGCGCATCTCTCCCTCTCGCAGTCACCGCCCCGGCCCCTTACGCCACGCAGTCCGACGACACCCAACGTTCCGAAAACACTGAGCTGCGGCCCCGCCCCTCGATCTTGTATTTATTCCCTGTTTACATGGGCCGCGCTAATCTCCTGTGTATCATTCTAATTCTAACGGATGTCCCGAAGGACCCGACCGCGGTAGCACCCCGCCGTAGAGCGTTGCCCCTCCGCGCTTGCCGGCCTAAGGGAAACTTCGGAATGAGTCAGCTACTAGACGGTTCGTTTAGTCTTTCGCCCCTATGCGTAGGCCCCTACGGGTGGACTGCATGGTAGTACTACAGCCACCCCTGCCGTAAATGCCCCCGGCTTACCGCGCATACTCGGGCCGCTGCGCCCATCGCGCCCACAGCCAAACTCCCGATCATCCGAGTTTGAACTCGGGTCTGTATTTCAACAGTTCATGGGTGTACCCACTGAGCTAAGGACTCTTGGGTGCCTGCTACGACCACGGTACCGCGCTCCGGGCCAAAACGGGGCCGCGCATAACAATAAGGGAAAAACAAATAGATAAATACATAAAAACCAAAAATAAAAGACATAAAATATCATAAATAAGGGCCCCTATGCACGGTGCGGGGACTGCTAAAGCCCCACCGGTCCCGTGGATCGGCCCTGCCGCTACGTCTGTCAACAAAAACCAGAGCAGGATAGCCCGTCGTCCCTCAACCCCTCGGTTTTCTCCGTACGGTCCGCTGCAGTTGTTGCGCCGACGCCCGCCGACCTCGACCCCCGAGCCTTCGTAGTGTCAGTCCAATGTCGTAACCTATAGGGCTGAGCCCAAGTCTGAGACCCACGTCCGCAAAATACCATACAAGACGGTGCAACGCGACGCTTTTTGGGCCAACAAAACGGCTGCGCGGCTCCCAGTGCCCGCGCCGGCTAGCTTATATTATGCCATAATTACCCCGGGCGCCATTCTACGACATCCGGCTCACCGTACGAAATCGCGGCGTTATTTCCGATGCCGTTGTCGGGGTTGACTTGGTAAACTGTACCAAAAGAAAATATCCTTATTCCTGCTTAATCAAAAATAAATAATAAATAATATCACCAAGCTAAACGACCGAGGTCCGGGCCGGCTTTATGATCAACAACAGAAAAAAAATTCACGCGCGCCTTAAGCCTGCGCGCCCACGCACTCGCTATTGTGGTCAACCACCTAATCAACGCAATTACAGACACGACCGTGCTTAGCGCGGTATCCTTAAAACTCTAGACCAAATTTTGTTTTCTGTTACTTGCAAAAACCAGAGCGGATACCCTTGTAAGGGTATTCGCACCGACAGCCTTACCGGACCATATTAAACGACGTCCCCGTCGCTTCGCCAAATCTGAAAGCTATAAATCCATTCACACTCCAAATGCTGACGAAAGAAGTGAGCCAATCCGACTAGTCGACAAACACAGGGTAGAGGCCTCCATCAAACCATGCCTCCACAACTATATGCTGCCAGGTTCCGAACCTGGGCCTCACACCGTCCAGAAATTAGGACACTGGCAGCATAAGTTCCAAAGACCTTCGCAATCGTCCCCTCCTCGGTTCTAGACAACCTTCGGGTTCTCGTTGGGTGTCCCTAGTCCTGGCAAAAACTAGGGACGCGGGCCTTAACCGAGACCTTTGAAGGCACTCTCGCCTTCTTTCTCAAAATCTCTCGCAATCAAATATATATATAAACTTAATATCCACTCCACTCTTTCTGCAGTCTAGTACAGAAAGGCCCGGTCTCCATCTTGGCCCACCATAGCCTGGTTGATCGGACCAGGACTACGGCCCACCGCATTGTTATTTAACGGCAGTACCCTCGTTGGTTACGCAACGATAGGGTTTCTCTTGAGAGGCACTCAATCAGGACCTCCCAAAATCTCAACCTTCACTATCCCACGGAATAATTTCCCTGGGGCGGGTAACTCCCCTTAAACTCTTACCCCGTGGTCCCGCAACCAGGTTGCGCCGGTTAGCAGTCATCCAATGGGGTTACGCCCTAGAGGTACTAACTTCTTTTCCGTTAGCTTGGCCTTCTTCAATATGTCTCAGAATTAGCACCAGTGGTTAAACGGGTGCGTCGCAAAACAAAAACACAGGCCCACTGCACGATACGCAGGGGTCCGAAGGCATTTACCAGCCCTCCTTCAATAGGCATGGCCTCCTTTGCACGCTTACAAGCAAAATCACCGCTAAATCCACCAGGCCGTGACCCCTGACTTGATCAGAGCCAGCAGCCACCCACCCTGAGACATCTCTCGCCCTGTACTCATTGCGACTTTCTCAAACATTTCAAACAAAAAGTGGCCCCTTTCCGTCAGACTTTATCACCCATCGAACAAATCATCATGCCATAAATCAATTTATTCACTTCTGAGGATGAGTTTTTCAACCCAAAACCACTCCCCTTTTCCAACAATCCAAAAGGGACTCTCTTCATAACCAAAACACCCCCTCTTTCAAAAATCGCGAGGGGTCTCTCCATAAAACAATACATTCCCTCTTCCAGAAATCACGAGGGTCTCATCATAAACAAAACACCCCCTCTCTCAAAATCACGAGGGGTTACATTATATCACAAAACATCACAAAACATCCCCTCCCTTTTTCAAAATCTAAGGGGGTCCCATTATAAAACAGAACATCACTGAGAGACCATCTTATGGGCCCTCATCACAACTTAGATAACTTTCACAGACGGACTGCGCTTCCTCCCCTTATACTCTGCCTTATCAGCTGCCGTGGGCAGGTCGCACAAATATACCGAGGAGTAGACAGTTTTACTTACAATCATATTCACAATACCCAAGATACATAAAAGATTTCTCACACATTGTCCACACAAACTCATCATACATCAGAGTACAATCACACATGTGAGAGAGACAAGTGATCGTCACATATAAGAATGGTCCCTGAAGGAAACCTCATCATAATATACAATCAGGGAGTACAATGTCTCACACAGAAAGTATCTCCAAATCATAGCTTGCTCAACTCAAGTCACACCAAACCCACACTGACAACTACCCTTAGAATATATGTCAGATCTGTCTCTCAAAGGCCAGGGCGTAGGTCACCTAAATATGTACATGCCTCATCTAAACCACCCTGACCCTCAAAACCCCAACTCAGCAGAACTACTAGAGTTCAGATCTAGATTAACGGTAATCATCAAAATGTCTTCTACATCTAAGAGAGTATCACACAGAACCTAAGTTGATGCCTCACAAAATGCCCGCTCGCTTATATAGACAAAGTCGGTCCTACCTCCTCAACTCCTCCTGGTTTTGCCTATATAACTGAGCCCTAAGTCCATCTGCGGACTTCTCTACTATCCTACCCTGTCTATCATACATTTTACCCCCTACCTCTTAAATCTTCCCTGCTGCCTTATCCTCAAGAAACTCGAGACAGTCCAAAGCGTGATGCGCGCTCCTCTTGCAGTAGAAACATAGTTGATTAACCTTCCTCTTGAACTTCCTCTTCCTGGGCTGAGGAGGTGGTGATGAAGGAGATCCTGCCAAGGTACTGACAACCCCCTGCTGCTCTGCTTGAGGAGTTGCGGTACCAACGACTTCCTACCGCTCTGTCCCCGGAACTGGTCCATCAGACCTAGATCCAGTAGCCCAAAATCCTAGTCTGCCTCTCAAATCCTCTGTCGCTGGAACGTACTCGGGCGTGTCCAACCTTTGAGGCCTCCTCTCGAGTGCCGCTCCTGGCACTGCCATGGGCTGCTCCTCAATCTCCTCTGGTCCATACTCAGGTGTGCCTATCCTCTGGAGTCTGCCCTCGATGGCACCCTCCTCCTCAATCCCCATCTCTCTCTCAAGAGACTCCTCTATCCTCTGCTCAGGTGAAAACAAACTCACCTCCTCCTGCATAGTATGCACCGCCTCAAGGAGCACGCCCATGGATCCCTCTGCCGAGCCCTGAGCCGACTCACTGCTAGATGGTGGCAGCCCCTCCTCTACTGCCAAAGGTACGACTGGGCCTGCCGCCGCCACCGGCAGCGTCGCGAGCTCAGTAGGGGCTCTAAACTCGAACGCCTCTCTCTCCGCCTGTCTCTGGGCTCTCGCCTCCTCTGGCTCCAGGATAACTCTCCCCATAGGCGGCTCCTGGCGAGGCTCTGTCGCAGATGGCTGTTCTGGCAATCCCTGTCCTGGCTGCCTCTGCTCTCCCTGCCGGCTGCTCTCTGGTCTATCCACCTTTCCCTGGGTTTGCTGCCTCAGGCTCTCAATGATAGCTGCTTGGCTGGCCACCAAAACCCTAAGTTCCTGAATTTCCACCTCCATAGCCTCCAGACGTACTCCATGGCTGGCTTCCTTCACTTTTTTCCCCGCCAGATCGCCCTCTAATAACAAGTGCCGGTCAAAAGTGGTCTTGGCTAGGAACTTGATTTTACGATCTAACCTTTCTTCCGCCTTCCTGGCCACCCCAAACCCGGCTCTAATTGGCGGTGGAAGCTCCTCTTCTCTCTGCTCCCAGAAGTTTCTCCACATTTCAGGAATTTTCGGGGTCTTGGCTGGCGCGCTGGGCGGCTGACCCGGGAGTGCTCCTGCTGCCTCCGACCTCTGCCTCTCCTGCTGCTGCTCCGGGAGCTCCCCAGCTGCCTCCAACCTCTGCCTCTCCTGCCATATCTCATCTATCCGCCTGGTTCGTCGTGCCCTCTTTTCTTCGGCCGTCTCTCTAGCTGGCACCCTTTCCCTCGTGCGGAGGTTGACCCTCTTTGGGATTTCTGCTTCCATCTCCTTCTCGGGCTGGCATGACTCCTGGCGTGGCTTTGCAGGTGCTGGCTCCTCCAGGTCTGGGTGCTCCAGGGCATGAGCTGCTAGGTGCCTATCAATCAGGATCAAAGCTTCTCTCCTTACTGCTGCCCTCTCTCTCCTCCTTTATGCCCTCCCTTCTGGCGAAGGAGCCTTTTCTGACGAAGGTAAAGGGTTCTTTTCTCTCTGCAACCCCTCCTTTGCTTGTCGGGCGCTCCCTGGTGCACCCCCGAGTCTCAAACCCACTGCTAGCGCGTGTGGGGGCGTGTCTTCTCCAACCTCTATCACTTCCTTCCCTGCATGTCTCCCCTCATCGCCCAACTCTCTCTCTCGCTGAGTACCCCAGACCTCTTCTTGTGGCACCTCCTCTCATGGCACCTCCCTTGCCTGCTCTCCATGCTTCTCACCCTGAAGCGACGCCCTCCACCGAGAGATATCTAAATGCATCTCCAATTCCCTCAAGGGCCCCTCTGACGCCGGTGGCTTCCCCTGTGTGTGGGCTGGCGACCTCCTCAATCCACCCTCAGTAAAACGATGGAACTCCACTGACCCCAACTCACACTCAGGGTATGCCCCTCGCTCTTCATCCTCTGGCTCCTGCTCTCTCCTGGCTAGGGCCTTCCGCCCTCCTCGAGAGGGTCTCGCCTCCCTGGGCTCAGGGTTCCTCGGCCTCTGACTCCTCTGCCGCCTCTCGACTCTGGGCTGAGGGAGCTCTGGCCGTCGAAAGGCCTCTCTCAAATGTGCCCTGCAGCTTTCCCAATCTCGTGCCATGTCCCTGATCTGCATAGCCAGTGACCTTTCCGCCTTCCTGGTCCAGAGTGGTAGTGTCTGCATCCAATCATCTTTCTGTATGGCCTGCTCTTGCATGAACCACTCAAACGCGGGGATGAAGTCCGACGCATTTCCAATCTCCAGGCGGATTGGCCTGTCATCAGGTCCCACTGGCGAGGGTCGCAACTCCTCCATCCTTATCTCCACCTCCTGCCTTGTCGTCGCCTCCCTACGAATCCTGACAACGGGCTCTTCGAACCTACCTGCTCCCCTCAATCTCTCAATCGCCTGAGTGACGGTCCAGCCCATACGCCTCGCATGCTCCCAGAAACTGTCCAGGAATAGCTCGATGTCCCCATCATTGTAGACTGGAGTACTCTCTCGTTGGCGAGGCCCATGCTGCTCATATCCTCCTGATGCGCCCAACGGCCTCTGAGGCGGCCGTGTCCCCTTCCCTCCTCTTGGCATGACTGTCTTCGTAAAGTCAGACCTGCGCAACAGGCGAAGGAGACAACAGGCACACGTTGGGGTAAGCAAGGAGGTGATAATCAGAGCACGCTCAGACCAGACCGCACTTATGCAGCAGGCATCCTTCCTAACCTACACACCCTGTTACTTCTTATTCTAGGGGCAGTCAGGTCATCTCTCTTACCTCTTCTCTCGCCACGAATTTCTTCAGTCGCGTTCCAGATACCCAATCCTTCCACTCAGTCCCATTTAACTCCTCGATCAGGTACGCTCCGAAGTCTCCGACCCGTGCAATTCGGTAGGGACCTAACCATCTCTTATCGAGCTTCCTGGACCACTGCTTCTCCATCGACGTATCGTAGAGAAGCACGACATCCCCGACTGCCAAGGGTACTTTCCTCACTCGCGAAGACTGATCCCATCGGGTCTTATCATCCAAATGGCTTCTCGCCACCTGATCAGATGCCTCCTGGATCCTTTCTTCTATCGCCCTGACCTGCCGCGCCCGAATATCAAGCAGCTCTTCAAATGACAGGTTGACTTCCAGATCCCGGCGCCTCCACGTCTTAAGAAAGTTTTCGATAGGGAAGGTGGCATGCCTTCCGTACCACAGCGTCGCATGTGCGTACTTRGTGGATCTCTTTACTGTAATGTTCTCGACAAAGAAAGTCGCCCTTAGGTATCTTGGCCATTGATTAGTCCTACCTTCGGTCCATTTGGCCAGGAGGTTCGTAATGGTACTATGCCCTCTCTCTACGGGAGCATTTGCCTGGGGGTGCGCGGCCGTGGTGTAGTTGGTTGCCACACCATATCTTGCTAACAGTTCTTGCACCTCCTGACAGGTAAACTCTGATCCTCTGTCCATTACGAATTCCCTGACGAAAGGATAACGTAGGTAGTACTCCTCGATGCAGCTCACCAGGACTGACCCGGTCTTTGTGCGAATAGCTCGCCCGTCTACGAACCCAGATAGGTTATCGCGCGCATCGAAGATATAGTTATAGCCCTGATCCCCAAGTGGTATAAAAAGCAGATTGAGATGCACTACGGCCCCTACCTCTCGCTCTAACCTTGGATGCAACGGCTCTCCCTGGCTCAAACGGGATCTCTCCTGGCAGGGTACGCAAGATCGACAAAATTTCCCGACCATGTCCATCATTCCATCCCAGTAGTACAACTCACTTATCTTGGCATACGTGGCTTGTACCCCTCGATGCCCTCCTGCAATGCCATCGTGTAGTGCTGCTACGACGTCGATCTGACGATTCCTACTGCAGACGACCCTCCTAGGATTCCTCACTTCCCTTCTCACGAAAAGGTGACCGTCTCGCACTAAGTAGCGTTGCAGCATCCTTTGAGCCCTATCGCTCGCATCTCTTAGCCGCATTTCACATGACAGAAGAAGCCCCAGCTCTAGGTAGATCCCGTCATACTCCTCTGCACGAAAAGCCTCCTTAATTTCCCCTTCCTCGAACTCGTCGTCCTGGCTCTCAGGTATTTCGTCCACATTCCCTGCCGGGTTCAACGAGCCTGACTGGTCTATGCTTTCCTGCAATAACGTACTGACGAGGAGATACATTCCTCCCTTCAGGTCCTCATGCCATTCTACCTGGCCAGGTCCTTCCTCAATCGTCCTCATATCCTCCACCAGGCTATGCGAGCTGGCCAGCGCTAATTCCATCATCCACTGAACATCCTTACCGCCCCAGGGATCCTCTTCTTCAAAGGGCTTAAGGACTAACTCATTCCTCCTTTCATACCCCTTCGGCGCTTGCTAGATAGGATAGCCTACACAGCTRRGCACTCGCGGCGACCATTTGTTGATATGAAGACGAACATCTTCTTCCTGATCCAGAAATCCATCAACTGGGGGCGTATTCTCCACCGCCTCCCCTTCCTGCTTATCCCAGTTGATCCGACTCAGCCCGTCCGCCCGGTTCTTAYTACCAGGAATCCGTTCYAATTCGAAATTGAACATCCAGATRTACGTCAGCCATCTGGCAATCGTCGGATCCGATGGAACGTAATTTCTTAGAGAGTAGGCCAGGGCGGTCGGATCCACTCTCAAAATAAACCTCCTGCCAAAGATATAATTCCGGAAGATTCGCAGACAGTGGAGGACGGCAAGGGTCTCCCTCTTGAACTGAGAGTAGTTCCTCTCGGTCGTACAGCTGTCTCTTATACACATCTAGATGTGTATAAGAGCCAGGGTCTCCCTCTTGAACTGAGAGTAGTGCCTCTCCGTCGTACAGAGAGTCCGACTCTCAAATCGCAAGGGTCTTTCCTTCCCTTCCATGTCTGCCTGAATTAGAACTCCCCCTAAGGCAGTCGGTCCCGCATCCGTCTCGACAATGAAGGGTCACGTCTCTGTGGCGTCATAATCTGGCGCTCCTAACACCAACCCTCCTTCTCGAAATTCCTCCTTCATTTTTGCTACCACCTCTTCTTGTTCCTCACCCCATACCCATTCCTGATCCTGACGGACTAACTTCCTCACGTGTTCAGTCTTAGCGGCAAAATTCTTAACAAAGGCCCTCCAAAATCCACATGTACCAAGGAAGCTCCTGACATCAGTTATTGAGTGGAACGGAACTGGCCACTCAGTAATGTTGTCCGTCTTCTTCACATCCGGCCTTCGGCCCTTCTCGTTGCAGACTATCCCCAAGATAGTCGCTTCCCTCATGCAGTGTCTGGATTTGGCCCCGCTTGCCGTGAGGTTATGCTCTTCGAGCAGGCTCAGGACCTTTTCGAGGTCCTGAATGTGTTTCCAGACAAAGCGCCTTACCCCTGGTGAGACTTCGTCGCTCTCTTTCGTCGCCGGCCCCTTCACTGCCAAATCGTCAATGTATGGCTGTGTGATATGGGGGCTGACTGACTGCATGGCCCGAATCATGGCCCGTTGGACCATTGCTACTGCGTTGGTCCACCCTTTATTAGTGGGGAGCGACACGTGCTGGGACCGGGCCCAGCGTCCCAGCGTCCCTAATAGGATTACAATGAGAAACATTTCAGAGAAAGATATAAAATTCCTAAACAACTTCTGCCGTTACTTCTACCAAACCCCACATTTCAAGTGATGCTATAGACCTAATAGAAACCATGATCCTTAGCTGTCCTGTTCTCAATACCAGGCCTCTACCCGGCCTCCCGTCCCCAACATGCTGGGCTACAGGGCAGCGTGACCCACCCCAGCTCCGACCATCGTTCTCCTGGCAGCAGCCCCCGGTTAGCGGTTAGCCGCTGGAATTCCTTCCACCCTCGTTGAATCCCCAGATCTCTGTACCAGAACGCTCCTGCCTAAACAAGTTACAGGGCAAACTGTCGTCTTCACCCGAATAGAACACCCGGTCATTATACCTGTATCTGGCACAACTTTTGGTCCAGATGCAGCGATAATGACCAGGCGTTCTAATCGGGTGACGACGGTAGCCAGGACCGGCCACCGTCGTTCTGTCATCGGCTAACCTAGACCGCTAAAATCGCAGCTTCGGCTTGCATCGGATGAGCCTCTACCGCTACTGAAATCCCGGATCCGGATCCGGTATCTGTACTAGAAGCTATCCATGATTGCTGATGATTGCTGATGTTTACTGATTTTTTTTTTCTTCGTATTTTTTGAAAATGCTATGAATTCATGAGCAACTTCTGTCCTCACATCGACCAAGCACCCACACCATGTAAACACTTTAAGCCCATCAGAAAAGAACCTTTTTTTTTTTTTTTTTTTTTTTTCGAACCGTAGCTGTCCTGTTCTCAGGGCCAGGTGTATACCCGGCCTCACTCTCCCAACATACTAGGCTACAGGGCGGCGCAACCCACCCCAGCTCCGGCCTTCGTTGTCCTGGCAGCAGCCCCCGGTTAGCCACTGGATTGCCTTCCACCCTCGACAAATCCCCATATCTATCTACCCTTGGCAGGCCTCACACCTGCGAAAACAGGTCACAGGGCTACGCCCCAGCAACTAACAGCGTCGTTCTGGCATTGGCCAACCAAGATCATATCCCAGCATGTGAATCTTATTTTTCGTAATGAAAAGAGGCGGGCCAGGCAGCGGCTGAACTCACAATTCTACCTGGAAACTTACTGCGGTCATTATCCAACTTTTAGGGTTCGGATAACTCTTGCTAGAAACAGGTTAATCCCTCATTCGAGAGCTCATCGAGCTGGAGCTAACACAAAGGTGGCGCAAGCTCAAGGCCCAGGTAGACATCTTTCAGACTGAACGGGATATTAAGAAGGCAATTACGTCCTTCTGCACAGATTGGCTAGGGGGACAGCGGGGGGGGTGGATAGCACGGGTGGAGTGGGGGGAGACGGAGTTGGTTTGACAGAACAGGGTCCCTTGACAGATTACAATTTGGCTTTTAATGACTGGATTAATATTGAGCCTTCCTAGTCTCAGTTTCATCGAATTTTCTGACGAGTTTTCTGAATGTGCTCGTTATGGGACGCTGGGCCCGGTTCCCAGCTCGTGCCGATTTGTGAGGATATGGTTGTATCTATGGGACGCTGGACCCGGTTTCCAGCAGGTGCTGCTCCCCACCAATAGATGGAGCTTGGTTTAAAACAAAACAAAAAAAAAAGAGCCTTCCATCCCAATGAGACCCCCTGTCTGAGTTCCCTGACCCATTCCCGCCTCACCCCGTTTCCCTGGCTATCATTCCAAACTGATCAAGGTGTTTTCCCCCGGTGCCCCCCGGGGTGGGACACTAGCTACACATTCT